TGTGTAGAAGGCTGTTGTGTAGCTTGTTGATAGATTATGAATGTGCTCTTTAATATGCAATTGGGCTCATTTGATTTGGTTTCGCAGTTCGAGATTAATTGCGTTTTGAATGTGGAGAGAAGTGACTCTTTTTTTTGCCCCCCCCCTGTAGATGGTGTTCCCTCGGCGAAAAAAGTTTAGCGCTGCGTAAAGTAGAAAAGCCGCTCTGTGTTTTAGCGAATCACACCCAAAGCGACACTTTGCGACCTCTCAGACTCCTGGGCGGAGTCGGAGAGGGAGGCATGGAATGAAGAACGTGGTGGAATTTCTACTCAGATTTCTCAGTGGCGGCACTCCAGGAGACAATTGGAAACGGCCCAGCCGTCATCATTTGTGACAGCTCCACAGAGGACTGTCTGAACGAGTAATAGCTTACTCCATTTCCGGGTTGTTCGCCAAAACAAACGCTTTTCGTTCGCGCTGTGTAGGATGGGTCTCAGACACCGTTTTTTAAAATAGGTATAATCATGCGGTTTCCATCGACGATTCCCTTAGATTCTGTCTAAGCCTGAACTCTTGCCGCTGTCTTGCGCCTCTATGTTGTGTGGCAAGCTCGTGAATAGGTTCTCTCTGTACCATTTTGAGAGACTATCTGGAATCTTCAGATTAATGATGCTTCAAAATTCTTACATAAACATAGAAGCCCAAAAAATTTCTTAATTCTCAGTAAATTCTCATAGTGCTTCACTTGATGACCGCAGTTTTATCCCGACATTTATTACGAACTGATGGAAATTTACTTCAGCTTCGGAGAAAAATTTTGGACTCAGACTCACCATATACGTATAATTATTACATGCCTCTGCTTCAGGTTGCGACTTCGCATAAATCGAGATCGTGTTGTTTTGTTAGCGGACAATTCTAGAAGCATTTACGACTTCTGTGTGCCCTTCTATATGGATTCGACAAATGTTCGACATAAATTTCTACCAGATGTTGCAAAGTTGAAGTTTTCAGTGCCGATATACTATCCATAACTTTGTCTGTTGACCGCTCCCGATGATTCTTTTTATACTAGTATTTAGAACAGATATGACTGTTACTAGAACTAGAACTAGAACAGATATGACTCATTTGTAAGATTTTGATCAAAGCGGTGATGTATTCTTTCCGGTTTTTGTTGCAGATACTGTTGTGCTATTTTTAACACGGGTACATACTTGTTTTATGTTGTTCTCACATTTAATAAATTTGAAGAATAGCAATGTATGATAGTTTTGATGTGAAGGGTGTTACCTCAAGTTCATGAGTGCTCGAAACCTCCGAAATTTCGTTATTCAGAGCCGTATTTGTAGCCATCTTTAGATGTCACATCTGGCAGCACGCTGTAGTCTTCGATCGAAAATCGGTGTTTGCTTTTTGCCAGGTGGACTCCGAAAAATTCATGTCAGTTTTTAGTTCAGCGGATTCACTTGGTGCTTCATAGGGAGCGATTGGTGTACACGCTTGCTTTGCCAATATAAATAGAATTTGAATGATCTGCTTTTCAAAAACAAATTTCACGATCAGTAAGATGAACAAATGTCCGTGGTTAGGACAGGTATTCACGTTGGTAGACAGTGTGTAGTACCA